AGAAAGTAAATGACAAGGAAAGTAAATAAAGTAAAGACAAGATGCAATATTGTAGAAATATAATGTAAAGTGCAAGAATATAAGAGAAGTACTTGAATTAACTAGAATTTAAGTACAAAGTCAGATAAAAATCTGATGAGGGATGATCAAAATAAGCTCCAAATGTCTCTATTTATACTAGAACAGAGGAAGAAAGACAAAAGCTAAGAGGAGATAAGATTTTCAAAAAGTAGACAAAAAGTACCAAAGTACAAAAGGAACAATCATAACAAGTACCCTAAGCACTTCCCACTAGAATCTTCTTGTAAATCATCAATCTTTGTCCAAGAGTTTTCCAAAAATTTGTCCTTATCCACGCACAACAGCTGAATCCAGAAAAACTTGTCCAAAAACCAAACTACAAAGACCAATGTTAAATGAATCCTGCAGCACAGAAACATTAGGCATACATGCAAAGAATTAGTCATCCTAATGTTGTTAAGACTAGTAAATCACTTAATTTAGCTCCATGGATAGACAAACGGAAATTAATATAATAAAAAAGACTCAAAGTTGGGATAAAAGAAAATAAACTACCTAAAGGTAAAGAAATAGGTGCTTTCTACCTTGAATAATCAATGCATATCAATCGACCTCACTATCCTCATCTTTCCAACTTCCATTTTCTTCTTCATCACCGAACATTGCACCATACAACATTGCATGTTTGATATCCAACCTGTAGAATCTTCCCTTTAACTTTAACACACAAAACTCCTTATTAGCCCCTCTACTTTAGCCGCCCTACCTTGAAGTCTGTCAAATGTTGTCCTCAACTGCTGAATCATATCTTCCAAATACTCGAAACTATCCTTTTACTGGTGACCTCTATCCCCTCTTCATTATCCCCTCTTCATTATTCTCCTCCACGACCATAACCTAACATTCACCTCTCCCTCGACTTTGCAATGGTGGTACCAAATAACATACACCATGGTACACTCCCTTGGAGATCTCTTCTAGAATCATGGCAAAGGGGAATGGGTATAACACTGATTATTGGTGACCATCGAAAAGAATAACGTATCCCTCACTTGTATCCTGATACAAGTCCTCGAACTATGTAAATAGTGTGTCCTTGATTTCTTGTTTTCAACCATTATTAGTGTGTAAGATAATCCAAACAATCCATGTTCTACCGTTATTGACAATTGGATAAACGAGGCTCTAACTTGTGCCTCACCTCCTATGCATCACTTAACACTTTTGAATGCGAATAAACATGAGATTATATCATACTTTTCTGTAAAAATTACAAGATTTATGTGTTTGCTGATTGATTTCATAACATTTTAAGCTGAAGTAGGAATTGAAATCATGAACCTAAATGGCCTCTGTAAAATGTGAAAATCTTCTGCGGGCCCTCAGGATTTGAGGATATAGAAGGAAGAGAAATCAGTTTGGATGGTTTAGCTGACGAATTAATATTTCTAGTGGGAGGATATAATGGCATATCATGGTTGCCATCATTGGATTGTTACTCAGCGCCACAAATTCTGACTAAGGCTCTTGAGCCCATGAATACTGAACGATGTTATGCAACAGCTTCAAGGTTGCATGGTGAGATTTTTGTGTTTGGTGGTGGGACCATTGGTCAATAGTTCGACACAGGTGACTAGTCTTTTGTATGGCTTGTGCTCTCACAACATCATCTTGTAAGTAACATTGGCCTTTTGGTTTTGTAAAATTGAAACGTATGATCCAGTAGCGAATCAGTGGAAAACTTGCCCTCTTCTAAATTGGAAAAATGGAGGTCTTGCTGGTGCCACTGTGAATAATAAAATTTATGCAATCGATGGTATCAATGGTGTAGAGTAGACTACTATTCAAATGTCGATATATTGGATTTTGACGTTGGATCCTAGATTCCAACACGCTCGATGCTTGAAAAGGTTTAAACCTCAAGAAAAGCCTGTTTTTTTTCTTCCCTATTTTTCCAAAAAAAAGGTATTTAAACCTTTTACTTCCTTGGTTCCGATATAAAGTATCCATATTTCTATTCTAGTCATCCCTAAAATAAATGTCCACTTTCAAAAGTAAGTTTATACCCTTAATCATGAAATGGAGAAATTCGTTATTCCCTCTGTTATTAAGGGTAAAATTGTGATCTAGTTGATTAAAAAGTATAATAATTACACATTTCTAGATTTTTGTGCTCTTTGCATTTGATACGGCGATCGTAATTCACTTTGTGCAAACTGTAGGTTTTTGCTGCGGTTTGCTCTTGCGACAACAAAGCTTAACGAGGCACTTTATGTTGTTGGTGGCTATGATGGGAAATGCTACTTGAGGTACTTGATCTTTCACCTCATGACGTAAAATAACCCTTACTTGTTTCTGATTAGAAGTTCGTTATTGATGCACTCAGAGGACAACTGAAAGATTTGATCCCAGAGAACATTCTTGGAAGAAAATTGAGACCATGTATACAATGAGGTGTCCTTCTATGGTCGTTTTGAACGAAAAACTGTGAGGCCAATATTTATTTCACTTATAAAGTTACAGGACTGGTTCCGAACCAACAAAAACTGACAAATCGAAAAAGTTCCTAAAACATCTTGTGTCAAATACGTAAAAAGTGTGTAGAAACATATATACGTACTTAATAAGTATATGTAGGTTTGATTTGTAGGTCTTATCGATTTGAATAAAGTAGTTGAATTTGCAGTTTACTAGGTTATCCATGTTTATTCTTTTACCAAAAGGCCTTCGGCCGAGTGGTACCTGGTAACCCCACCTTCTTGAAGGCAGGGGTTGAAGAAGTGTGTGTGAGTTAATTTTTCGTATATAAATATGATATGCTTGAAAAATAAAAAAATAGGTATCTATGGGTGGTTGAAGGTTGAATTGTTATTTGTTTTAGGAGATTATGATATTGATGCAATGGTTTCAAGCGTAGAATTTTATGATCCCTCGACGGGGATCATGGATGATTGGAGAGCCAATGAACCATCCTTGCAGATTTTCGAATGCTACAGTGGCAAATGATCGAGTCTACATCTTTGGTGGGCTCAAAAGTGGCGAAAAAATTAACGAAACTATAAATGGCTTCAAAAATTGCTAAATTTTACTGGCCTGCACCATTAAACCTGCAAATCTGATTGAATTGTTTATTGGTATTCATTTATTGATGATTCACCATGGTCACTGAAACAATTGTTATACTCTTTGAGTACGTCTCACCATTCTCCCTAGACCCTACATCACGATGTGATATATTGGGTTTGGTTTAGTTTCTATTTGACATGATTGAATCATATTTGAATCTTGGTTGTTAACCACAGATTGAATGCTACAAAAATGTTCGAGGCAGGGAATTGACCGCCGCTAATGCTGCTTTGGTGGTCCTAGTCGGATCTACAAGAGTTTATAGGTAATAGTTTGTAGAAGGGGGGGATGAATACAAAAACATCAACTTTCACTTTTAAAAAACTTATACTAATAAAGAAGATCTACACAGATTTTTACAGATTGTTTGCGTAAAAGATAAGATACATAACTTATCTAAACAATCAAAGAAATACACAAGTTACAAATAGCAATGAAGAAAAGACTTGCAAAAAGAAATAGGTTAAAAAGGTCTTGTGCTCTTCACTTGTTAGAGTGGAAGTCTTTCTCTAAGATAGAGAGTTAGAGGGAGGAGTATCTTTTTGGGTAAGATCTTCAAGGCAAGGAATCTTGGATATAGATGATGAAAAGAACAAAGAAAAAAGAACTACTCAGTTATTTATACCCATTGCATTAAATGCAATTCAGAAGGTATAAAGCACGTGACAAGCTTTAAGAGATGAACTTGTCCTTTGTTGTAGATATACAGCCTTTAATCGTATATGAACAGTAGTTTTTCACAAAGTAGGTAAGCGCACTTGGAGACAGTAGAGTGACTCCATACAGTTTTTTACTTTGAGAGATATGGGTTTGTCCTTTTTGTGTACAAGGACAAGACAAAAAGTAATCTTGTTCAACAAGATTCATTTGATCGCTGACACTGGAATGATGCTGGAGGTCTCTTCAGTGTTCGATGAATCTTGAGTAGATGTCATACTTGTGTAGAGGAGCTTGTTATCACTAAAAACCACATCAGATCACTCACTTGCTTGTCTCTATCTTCAACTTCTATCTTCGATATCGTCGAAGGTTCTGTGGTGTGAGTTTTGTCTTCCAGAAGAATACTTGTCGTTAAAAGAATTACAATACATCTTCAACGATCACTTGAACAGACTCAGTGATGATTGCTGAAGCTGAATACAGAGATAGTACACTTCATAAGGTAAAAAGGATCATTATCAAATTACTGAGAGAGAGGATTAACATGCTTGTCGAAGGTGCTTATTCTTGGCTATTGCTCTTTGAATGATGTTTGGTTGGTCGGTAGCGTACGAGTTATACTAGGTTTGGTAGCCATTGGTCTTGTTTATCATGGCTGGTTTGTTTTTACACGGTTAACCTTGGTGGTTCATATAACTAGTCCTTTAACAATTATTAGGAAAAGTATATACCAATATTCACATGTGAATATCCATTTGCATGAATCTTATTGGCATTATTAGAAAAATTGAATACAAAAATACCACAATATAGGCGTCAAACTGATGAGAATAATAATTTGTTTGATTCAATGTTTTGTAATGTAAATGTAATAAAAGTGTTTACATTATGAAATTAAAGAGGTTTATTTAATAAGAACCATACCATAACATTAAATGAATCGTTACCATCGGTTCCATGATTTTGTTTGAATATGCCTCTCTTTGGGAATTTCTTGTAACTTGATCTCGTGTCGTTATGAAATTCGAGTTTATATTAAAATGAAATCAAGACGAAATTTCTTTAATGTATACATATCAAAATTCATTTTTATTTTCATCTACAATATGTTCATCGAGTTCAGATCTCCTTCATATTTTCTTTCTAAATTCGATCTAAAACACAATGAAAACTTGAATCTACCATTCAATCGTTTACTCTTCGATCAACTGTATTTTCTTGGCTGCTTTTCTCATTTTACTTTCATCTTCCTTAATATGGTAATTTAGTACAGTGTCGAGGCCATCATCCCCTGTCTTTTTTGGGTTCTTGATCGCGTCAAGATCCGGATGATCCGAATTTATTAGATCCAAATCTTCTGATGATGATTTCGATAACAACAGTCGTTGTTTCTTGAAAAACAAGATCACGACCGCACAATCATCGATTTTTGAAGCCGGGTACTTGTATCTCCATGCTCGCACCGCATGATCAATGAGAAATCTTGCAGCCATTGATCGTTTTTTCACTGAACCAACTATTTTGACCACCTCGTTATTTGTCAGCACATCCCATACCTGAATTCAAGCAAGCATAGAGTTAACGAGTGGATTCAACGAGTCGAATGATGTAAAATTTTGATATTGATCTTACTCCATCAGTCGCTAAGACCACAAATTCATCTTCGTCTGTTAGTTTTCGGTAAAATATATTGGGAACACAGATAAGTCCGTAATCTTTCAAACAGAAATCCCCGAAAGCCCTCGACATTGCAAGTCCCGGGCAATCTTGATCAGGCATCCATACCCTAAACACGCTCGGTTCATGTTCCATCGCTTGTACTCTCCCGCCACTGTTCTTTATTCTTTCATATTCACCTATTTTAGAAATCACTAGTTAATGAATCATTACATATAAAGTCCACTACAACATAATTGGGTTTATAAGACGTCAAAATGTTCAAATGTGTCTTAATAAACTGTTTTATATGACTTATATAGAATCAAAACAATTGTGTCTTATTAGAACGTTGTACTAAGTTTAGAGAACATTTTTACAAGTTTTTAAGAAATTTTTGAAATAAAAACTCCTATTAATTTCTTATAAAAACAAGTGTCACGAAAAAAAAATTGTTTATAGGACATTTCTCAAATGTAAAAAAATTAACATGAAGTGTCCTGAACTTTTTTTAAGACGCCCAAAAGCGTTGTATAAACTTATTGTAGTACTTTTACAATTGAAAACAATCTATTATGACACTTGGACATCATTGGCGCCCTATAAATACAATTTTGTTGTAGTGAAACACTTTACAAACCAAGGAATTGAAGAAAGATCTTACTCTGAATGCTCGGTTTCAAGTCGACTGTGAGTTGGACTGGATGAAGCTTATCATCGTTACTTCTCGTGCAAAGAAGAGCTCGCGAATCTCCTAGGTTCATAATTAGCAAGTTGTCACCCTACAAAATCACAACAAACAACATTATATGAGAAACCAAATGATGGTGCTCATAATTGAGATTTAGTTTTTCAATGAACACTAGTACCTGTCTGAGTACAGATACAGACGTCGTGCCACTACCGTAGCTATCGATACTCGAATCTGCTTCAAGATCTTCGTCCACCTCTTTGAACGATTCAGTGATGCTTGCTTGCCACGAACGTAGAATGGGATCGTTACTATCATTGAGATTGATTACCTTTTGATCTGAACCATGATCCTGATTCGACCAACTTTTCCCATGAACGTGTGAATCTCTAAACAACCACGAGAGTTTCGATGGCAAGGCATCGCGTACATAACGTGCCACCTTGTGACCAGATGGACCATGTCCATCAAATACACCACAATAAACCACATCCCTTTCACCACCGAAGTTCTGAAAAATGATTCGAAATTTATAAATCGATGAAAAATATAACCATCTTTAAAAATCTATGGTTTTAAACGTTCTTACTTCCCAAACGGTCATCGCGTCCTGATTGGTCCCTTTTCGTCCTTGTCGAGTGAACATGGATACAAATTTGGTCGATCCTTGTAACCGCACACGGGCCCCACAATCGCCGATGGTTATGATCTGGTCATTGTCCTCGGCCTCGCTATCTTTTGGTTTGACACCATGGTCATCCGATAAGTCCCCTCGGTATCTCACGCCCATTTGGCACGAACAACACGCACCCATTTTTTGTACCGATGAACCGAAGAAATTTCAAAATTTTCAAGAAAAATAAATATGTGAAATTTGAAAATTGGATGTTGTGAAACCAAGGGGGAAGAAGGTCTAAAGAACCTCAAGCAAAAATGATTAAAATTTTGGTATGATGAAACCTAATTTCATGATTTTGATGTATAAATAAATTATTTAAATATATTTTTGTTGACGAATTGTTCCCAAAACGATGACGATGGATTATTGATGAATGCCCGAATAATGTTACTGTGATGATCGTTGGCAAAAGAATACGGTCATTGAAGACGATGCCAAAATGACCGTGCTTTTGCCATTCTTTCGATCCATTTTTATTTTTCTTTTTATCCTCTCTCTATGTCTTGGAACCTCATATTTTACGGAATTATTTACGATATTACTATATTTGTACAATCACAAAGATTTGTCCATTAATGAAGGAATTCCTTAACCGATCTTTAAATTTCAAATTGATAACATAAATATTAACTTGTATAAATTACTTAAAATCGAGCATTTCTTGTGTGCTTTTGATATTATTTTCAAATAAAAGTATGTGATATATGATAAATTGATGATTAAAGAGAAGGCTTGAAATGAACTACGTGACATAAATATCATCATACACATATGCACATGTATACATACAGTTATCATGGTATCAATAAACTATATAAAAGAGGGATGTTCAACGTGTTTATGTTTTGATATTCAACTACTTTTTTTTTGCATTCCATAATATTAATCAACTTAAAAATAGACAACAGTTTATTAGCCCGTGCAAATTTCATACCTAAGGGGTCAAATACTTATCGAATGAACATGACAAATCCTTTCATGGCTTCTTTCTAACTACTTTGATATTCAACTACTTATTAGCCTGTACAAAATTCATACCCAAGGGGCACCCTAAGGTGAAGTGTTGGGTCGAATAAATTCTTTATCATGCAGATCCTTCAATTGAGTAACCAGTTCCTTCAATTTTGATGGAGCCAACCGATACGGCGCCTTGGCTACTGGTGTTGCTCCAGGTAAGAGATCAATTCTAAATTCAACAACTCTGTCTGTTGGTAAACCCGACAAATCTTCTGGAAAAACTTCTGGGTATTCATTAACAACTGGAATCAATTCCTTCTTTCCTTTCTCTTTCTTTGCATCAATAACATATGTCAAACATCCATGACACTTCTTTCGAATACATTTTCGAGCTTTCAATACAGTCAAAAATCTAGTATGATGATCCTGACGATCACCATAGATAACCACTGTCTCTCTGTTTGGCAAAATGATTCTGATCATTTTCTTATTACAAACAATACTGTCCTGATGTTCTGCCAACTAATCCATACCCACTACTACATCAAACTCTTTCATCGGCATTGGGAACAATCGAATTGGTATTTCATACCCCTCAATAACATAACGCAGTTATTGAACATACTTATAACAGCCTAGATTTTGTTATTGATTAATCTTGGTATAATTATTTACATGAGAGTTGGATGTTTTATCTACTTGTACCCTTGTTTTAAATAGTTGTAGTTTGGACTAATAATGTAAGCCCTAGTTTATGTAAAGGGTTAGTTATGTAGAAAATAAATTGGTCTTAGGACTAAAAATGTTAAGAAAAATCCATATAAAGACTAATATTAGGCAATTGATGAGGGGTAACCTTTGCTAAGTGGGTATTCTTTTACTAACTATTTAAACACTAAATTTTCAGAAATTAACTCATTTATTTCCCTTTCACTTCTCTCTCTAGACCTAAATACTCTCTTCACATAAACCCTAGAAATGGTTTCATCTTCACATGCATCTTCCAATTTGGTGAAATTTTGAAGATTTAATGCTAAGTGATTGAAGTGAATGTAAAGAATCAAGGTATGAACCTATAAATTTCAAGATTTGTGGTCTAATTTGTTGATTTGTGATAAAGTTGGGAAGGTTCATGTTAGGRTTCATAAGGTTTTTACTAGTAAGCTAAACCTTTGTTAAATGATGTTAATTTGATGTCATTGTTAGTTAAAGAAGTTATAAATTAAGTTTTAATCATTTATTTGCAATATGGTAAGCTAGATAGTTAATTCTTGATGGTATTAGTGTCAAACTTATGCAAAAGGGGCTGTTTTGAGCTGTGTATATGAATCTTAGTACTGCTGGTTGTTTAAAAATTCATATAAAATCACTCGTTGATCCGATTGAGGTGTGCCATATATTGTTGGAAAGGTATCTGTGTCTTCTACAACTTTTTAGTTTATGTCCAAACTTGGTTTTACTTCCATAATGCTCAAAACAGTGAGTTTATGTAGCTGGTCCTGTGCAAAAATGGGATTTGCATACTGTTTTTAGAAAATTCATATAAAATAGGTTTTTCCTCCAAACTGAATGAATCCAAATCGACTGGAACCCTAAGTAATCKKYCTACAACTTTTGTTTAGACATTAACAMCWGAATGCAGCTCTAAGTATGAGAAAAATGATCAAAGTCAAGTTGGTTCAAAGCTGTTTGGTGCAGGGGATTTAGTAACTTTATTTTTGCTTGTACTTTGTGCTTTGAGGATTGTAACATCCGTAGATCTTGTATCAATCAGTCACATTCATGTGTAACTTATTCAGGACCAATCTTAGAATAAGAAAGGGGCATTAACAAGGGGATAGGAGCTACGGGCTTACTTTTTCGATTTCCGTCTAAGGTACGGATACCCGATTCTTGTGACTTTCTTTAATCACTAATTCATTATAGATGCAATATTGTATCTCTTTACCATCTTGGCATCTATCACTTGTATATAATCTTAGTTTCATATTTTGTGAGATTACCCTTTTCACATTGAATTGATATGTTTTGGTGATTTGAGCACTTTGTGCTTTAAGGCCCGACATCGAGGGCAATGATGTTGTGACGCCTCCATGGCGGCTATAAATTGTCATGGCGTCCTCGCTATTATACCCCAATGTCAATAAGTGGGTCTGGCCTGGTACCGGCTAATTTGAGGGCGAATGGATTGATCCTAAGAACCGTTATCGGGAGCCGTATTCGGGAACCATTTTTGGGAGCCGATTATCGGAAGGGAATTGAGTGTATTGCCCTACACTCATTTCCTATAGTTTGAGTGGTCCGTACAACCCTTGAACCCAATTGATTTTCTTATTTAATCTTCAATTCTTGAAATGATGATATTATTTTAAATTATTTCAATATGGACATTTCATGTTAATTATTAATTGATTCCTTAATGTTCTGGTTTTCGGATTCCTTATAATTATTATCTTTTATTAACTCGATTTATATTTGCAATCTTGTTACTTTAATTATCCGTTCACTGAGCATTTGGCTCAGCCGAGGTTTGTTTTGTCCTCGGCAGGTACATGAACATAGGTGGGACTATCACGGGACTGAGAGCGATGAAATATGACTATTTTAAAGACGACCTTGGATAGTCTAGTAGTTTTTGTTTATGTATGTATATTGTAACTATATCCATGTTGTCTTAACTTTTAGTCTACCACGTTCTTTTGATAGATGTACATAGTAACTCTGGTTATCTTGTATATATATATACTAGCTATTTATCTTGTTAGGTTTTCCTCCGTAACACACCATCTTCCGGCCATGCGAGACAAGGGTGTTACAATACTAGTAACAGATTCCTGACTATTAGCAGTATCAACTACTAATTTGTCATCAAGTAACACAGAATTCAGACATGCAATTTGAGCAAACGATGGTCATACAAATGAAAAGTTTGAACCATAATCAAATAACACTTTAGCACGTATAGAATTCAGAAGGAAGGTACCTGTTACTACATCTGGTGCAGCCACTGCGTCATTCTTTGTCATCTGGAAGGACCGTCCTCGTGCCCCTCCTTGCCCTCCTCTAGATACTGTAGGTCTTCCCCGAGTACCCGATACGTTACTCCCCATAGTCAATTGCGGAGTTCTCAACAACGGACAGTTGGGTCGAATATGGTCTGGGGAATTACAATTAAAGCATATTCTATTGGTTGGGCAGCTTCTTGACAAATGACCTGTCTCGCCACATTTATAACATTTCCTCGGATCTAATTTGCAGTCCCCTTGACGAACTTGTCGGCACTGAGCACAAACTTTCTCACCGACTTTCTGTTCAGCTCTACTATCATATTTCATTGATTCTGGCCCTAGAAAGTTAGATGAAGGCCCTTCCCATTTTATTTTCTCTATAACTTTAACCTCTGACTGTCGATTCTTATTTCATTCTGTCATTTCCGCTGCATCCATGTTTAGTGAAAAGGTAGTGGGATTCATAGCGATTACAAATTCATGAATTAAAGGTTTTAACCCCCCAGATATACCTCTCTACTTTCTTGGATTCTGACGAAATATAGTGTTCAGCAAACCGAGAATATTCGATAAACTTCTTAGTGTACTCTCGAACAGTTTCGTTACCCTTTTCCAATTTCAGGAAATCTTCCTCCATTTGTCGTACAGCCATCTTGGGACAGAACTGATCTTTGAATCGATTAACAAATTTCGTCCAAGATAGTGTTTGTAAGACACTTGTCCTGGCCAAAGACTCCACTTCCCACCAAAACAGAGCATTAGACTTCAATACCGACACAATAAATCGAACTTTATCGGTTTCTGGACGCCTAATGGTGTTAAACACAGATTCAATCTCCTTGATCCAACACATAGCTTTTACTGGATCTCTTTCCCTAGAGAAAGTTGGCGGTTTACATGTCAGGAACATCTTGATGTCTCTTTCCTTGTTATGAGTAACTGGAATAGAGGGATGTATTTCCACTCTTTCCATTTCAACCCTAGCTGGTATTCTCATAATAAACGTCAAGGTTTCCCTTAACTTCCCCATTTCCTTTGCCAGCATATCTCTGGTTATGTATTCTGGGTGTAGCACTTGTTCCTCCTGAACATTCCCAGAGTGGAATTCTTCATGTTCAGAATGTGTTTCAGCCCGACCCCTTCCCTCTGTCTGGATTCTTCCTCTGCCCC